TATTGTATTTTTGCCAAATCCACCAATAGCAATTTCCAATTTACCATATTGTTCGTGTCACGGATAGGTAACTTTCTTAAAACATTACTATTGGTTAGTTGGGCAAAAATACAATACGCACGTGACGGCGAACGACCACCCGCGCGCGTTCACCAATTACCTGAATGCCTTACAATTTCCGGGCATAAAGCCTCAGAGGAGGTGGTTGGCAAATCACATTGAATGTAAAACCACAATCAATGGCTACAAGATTAGAAACCCGGTGAATGAAATAATTAAAATTAACCTATATACAGGCTGTCTCGAAAAAGAAACTTTAGAAATATGAATGCCTGAGTACTGTATTGAACCACTGATCTAATAGTAATGAACCCATGGGTGCGTAAACACAATTGAATCGAATTTTATGCATTGTTTCGTTCAACATATGATTATTTATGTGCTGATTTATAATTTAACACAGCGCGAAAACAGTAAAAACTCGTTGCTCTGTGGTCATCGAACTGATAGTATGACTAATTTATAATTTGACCATTTTTGTGTAGTTATTCTTCTTTAATGCTTTATGCTATTAGAAGCAATTTTACATTTTCTAGAATATAGGAATTTAATCTCTAACGTTGATGAGATTTATCAAGCTTGGTAAGTGTAAAATAGTTTGGTGTATCTTAATTTATAATCAATTAATCTGATTTCATGCATAGTTACACACATAAAAGTGACATCCATGCACAGACCAAACTAGTTCAAATCGTTCACCATGCATGTCTTGGCCACAAACATATGAGAATCAAGTTTAAACATAGTTAATAGAATAGATGGTTTCTATTGGTTTGGAAACTCATTAGAATAACAATATAACTCATTATCTATGTTAGTCAACGTTTATTCATAAATCTGCGTGTTTACTATAGCTATATACTGTAAAGGTGGCTCCTTAGATTTTATAGAAATGTTGAAAATGCATAAATTAGATCAACTCTTTGAAGAGATGTTGTTTGCTGTATATATAGTGTACAATTTTTTTATTTCCAGCAACAATCAAACAGTTGATCAATTTAAAAAAAAGTTGTAAACATGGTTTTTCGAAATATATTGGCTTTACAAATATTTTTTAAACTTGGTCAGATAGTTAAGTTTATTGTGATACAAGAAAACGTTTTCTGAAATAAAAAATGGGGGTAACCAGGCGTTTTTTAGGTAAAGGCCAAAATATCGGCCATCTTAAATCGTCATTGTTGCCATATAGCAACAGTGGTGACGTTAGTTAGTTATTTAGTGACTTTATTTAAACAGCTAGGATTTACATAAATCTTTTCAGCGAAAAATACACTGCTATCAATAAGGCTGCTGTAATGAGTTAGTGACCAATTTCGAATTCTTAGACTGTTGCTTTATAAAAGGAACTGCACGCTGAGAGGGAGGGATGACTGCGCAACGTAGCAAGTAAGAAACGCAACAAACGTAAAATTTCCGGATAGTACGTCACTTTGGCTATAGTGCCTCGTTTTCGTGTATGTATTGAAGTTCAAAGTCTCATCACGAAAACGAGGCTCTTTAGCTAAGGTGATGTGCCTTCTGAAAACGTGTATTAATGAATCTGAGGAGAGAAACAAATCCAGAACCGTAGTTACTAAAACAAGGAATCACCTAAAACCATCTAAAACCACTTAAAACCATCTCTTAAACCACCTAAAACAGTCTACAACAATCTAAAATCAACAACAACAATCTCTAAAAGACCTAAAACCACCTACTACCACCTATAAAAACAACCTCTGAAGTTAGTGAAATTCAGGGCAAGCGAGTGCATTACTGCATTTTGTAGACGTTCTAAAGTTTTGAGGTAAAGAAATTGAATCAAAGAAGGAATTATTATTTTTTGTATCAATATTTAACTTGAAAATGAAGATGACTGTTTAATTATAAAAGAAAGAGTCATCATTATTCATGAGCGTATTTTGTTAATTGTTTATTGATCATTTTTATTGTCCACTTTACTATAGATTGCGTTAATGGTCGTTTTATATCGTTTTAGAATTCGCCATAATAAAAGCTTGTTTACACTTTCAATTTTTGCTGCGATTTCAGGCGCGATTTTCTTCTTTTGATGTGAACGAGTGGATAAGTTATAAGTGTATTGACTATATGGATCTATACTAGTTATATCTCATTTGTGTCGGTTTTCTTTGATCGTCCGAGGTTTATAACTAGCTAATATACCTTGAATAAATCATTAGATTAAATTTGTAGACAAAACGCGAGAATTTTTCATCAAAAAAATTTTGAAAATGACAAAATATGTTAGAAAACATCCACAAATGTGATATAAGTTAGTTATAAACCTCGAAAGTCGGTTTATAACTGATATATTGCCCTCGGACGCTACGCGTCCTGGGGGGCAATATATCAGTTATAAACCTCCTACTCGGTTTATAACTCTAACTTATATGAACATTAGTAACTTATCCACTCGTTTCAAATCCATCAGAAGAAAAAAGCGCACCAAAATTCACAGCAAAAATTAGACGATAAGGCTTTAAAAAGATTAAACTCTGTAACAATACAGCTATGGTTAAACATACAGTCACCATCTTTAATCGTTTTAAAGGTGGTTGTAGAAGATTTTAGGTGGTTCTAGGTCGTTTTAGAGATGATTGTAGGTGGTTTTAGATGGTTGTGGGTGGTTTTAAAGATGGTTATAGGTCGTCTTAGGTGGTTGTAGGTGGTTTAAGAGATGGTTGTAGGTCGTTTAAGAGATTGTTGTAGGTGGTTTTAGATGGTTTTAGGTAGTTCCTTGTTTTAGTAACTACGAATCCAGAACATTTATTTATAACTGTTATTTTGACGTCATTGATATTATAAGGACCAGATTTTATTTTTATTTTTGGAGGATCAGATTGGAAAAAAGTTGTAACTTTATTTGTTTATCCTCGATAAATAAAGTGTTATTATTATCAAATAATTATTTTACAACTATATTAATAACCAATAAACATATTTAAATTTAAATATTAACAGTGCATAAGAAAGAAAAATTCAGTCAATAATTAAATTGGTTTTTTTGCTATCACTACGGGTAGTTCAATGTTATCTTGTGCCTCGACGGGCTCTATCACTAAAGTAAGATCACAATTTGTGACCGTCACACTCACAGGTGTTGTAGAAGTAGTTTTTTTCCGCGTTCACTACATGTCATATATGAAATGCGTCGATTAAACCCAAAGAATCGTAAGAAAGCATGCTAGTACAAAATGAAACACTAACAACTTTCGGTAAATTATCGACAGACAAAAATTCGGCACCCGGGTTCTAAAACAATTAGGCCATGCATTATTCAGAGATTTTAAGTACATTTTGTCTCCTTGTAATAAGACATTATTAAATTTGGTTGTTGACCAGTCGATCTTAATTTGAGCTGTTAAAAGTGCTGATAAACTCATGAAAGCACAATCATTGCTTTCCTCTAGATTAGATACTAAAAAGTTCATCATCTTGATGTATATTAATTAGAAGAAAGAAATAAAGTCATCCTTACCTGAATTCTTACCACGCTGTACAATTTCCGTCTATTTCCCGTTTATTACGTTTGCCAATTGGAATTCGCTAATTGAGTAGACGTTCGTTATCACGTTTGTAAATTAAAATTTTTAGCGCAAGCTATAACGCAAAACATCCAAACATGTGCACGCAAAACAAAATGTTGTTTGACTACGCAGCTTAATCACGAACAAACATATGACAGACACAAGATTGTGATCTCGACAATACATAGATCGCGCGAAAGACTGGGTCGAGTGAACTCTGGAGAAACCATCGCACGTCAAGAATAGTGTGCAAATCGCATCTGCGCTGCTATGTGATAATACGAATTGGTTTTGAGCCAGAAATTCATCAAATTAATAACTTGTTTAGTGCACGATTGTTTTACTTTGCATAGTCAGAAATTAACTGCGCGATGGTTTCTATAAATTTGGAATGACTGACTGATGTGACTGAGCCAATTGTTGTAGATTTTCACATGTGCATGTGATGGAACGTGTCACTACAGATTTGCGCGTCGAGGAAACAGAAATCAAACTTTCGTAAATGGTTTACTGAACGATTACAATATTACAAAGTACAAACCCATTATTGTACCGTTACTTGTAGTAATTGTGGTTTTGGAGGCCATGGGCGTACGGGAGATAAAAATCCCGACTTTTCCCCATTGTGCCCGAGACTTACTGAAAAAATGTTTCCGTGTAAACTTTTCGAACCCCCTCCCTCCCCCCGTCGACAAGAAATTTTTTCCCAACCGTTAAAATTCCTCGTTACTTTAACATAATTCTTTTAATTTTAACTACTATATTGCATATGTCTTCTTTTTAAAATCCCCCCCCCCAATTTTTGCCCGACTTACGTTTATAATTTGCCCGACTTCATTTTGACTGGCGGGGCAGCTATCCCGCCCCCCGCCCCGTACGCCTATGTTGGAGGCCCAACTTTATTATCGTAATCGTAAGAAACACTAGCCATCCAGTATGATCTGTAGCTAAGTGGGGTTGAAATAATTTCTACGGTATTTGGTACATTTTTCTAAGTAAATTCCCTGCGGGATATTAATTTGCCCTAGTTGGCAAAGCTAAATAAATAAATTCCATTTTGTTGTTCCAAGAAATCAATCATTTTAGTGCATTTCCGGTTCAAAACAGTCGTAACCTCTCCAAATACACTATGTGATCTTCTAATCAGTAATATACTTCTGATTACGTTTAACCAAATGCATGGATGTACCGTTTCATATGCCATCAATTACGGTATCTTATCTTTTACATTCTGTATAGTATCCTGTAGCTATAACCAAGTTCTACCCAATCCATGCAAAGGCCTTTAAAGCAGACTTTGCCAAATATGCGGCTGGAATTAGGATTGGTACCTGTAGAAAAGAGATTGCCAGCGTATATTGTCAAATCATGCGTGGTGCCATTTGTTCCAGAGATATGACCAAGCGCATGTACGCCATTAGCCAACAAGATTGTATTGCAACAGCAGGAAAATGGTAGGTTGATGATTTATTCAATCAACAAAGTTTTGGCATATATATGTAGCTCAGACGGTAGAACATCGTTCTAGGTTGGTAATATTGGACCTTACCAAGATTTTGCGAGAAATGCAACTATAGGCCCTCAGGCAGGAATGGAACCTACGGTACACCTTACATTGGCATCACCTTAGTATATAGACATAAACTTGTTCAACAACTGGACCCTGTCGCTCAGTTGGTTAGAGCGCTGGACCGGAATCGCAGGTCCACAGGTTCGACTCCTTCCAGAGGGCCTATAGTTGCATTTTTCGCAACTGCTCCTGGTAAGGTCTAAAATTCACAATCGAAATTTCCATCTGCAAATCCCTGGGTTACTTATTGAGCGAACTTAAGCAAAGCTTAATCTAATACGGGGACGTGTCAAGAAACCGCCTTAAATTTTACACTTTTATAATTATAAAGAACCACCGTTATTAATTAAGAACTTCAACAAAGCAGAACGAAAGTGCAACGAGAACGGCCAACAACATCATATTAATGCAAGAAAACGAGCGGAAATTAATAATTGAAATTTCACGGACGTTATAGACGTCGCCGTAGCTCTGTTTTACAACGGCAAAATACAGATTATCACGTCTTGTATACAACACTTACATTTCAAGCTGGGACAACTGCTATTTTAAATTGGGTCCTAGAACTTTTCTCATTCATAAACCCAGTGTTAATTTTGATCCTTAAACTGTATTATTTTCATACGATGGATAATAGACGATAACTTTTCTTCCGCAATCATTTGGTTCAGCGAGTTTGTTCGCCGTCGCGTTCCCGTCCTAGATGCTTAAGCTCGCTATAATCAAAGCCGACACACACCGGACGCGATTCGACAACGCGACGCGATTTTTCGATTTTCGTTGACCGATAACTAATTTGATCCTGGTTTAAGTTTTTCAAATATTTGGAAGCGCTATAACATATTTTGAGTTATTTGGTCTACATATCTTTAAAGTTTCCTTTCATTGGCTGTTTTATTAACTTTCAAAAACTGAAAAATCGCACAGCGTTGCCAAATCGCGTCCGGTGTGTCTCGACCTTTAGGCAAAAAAATTGTGTTGGTGTTGACAGCCGATGATTTTTTTATTTTTACAGTGTTCTCATTCCTACTTACAAAGCGTACTTCAACGAAGTTTGCAAATTATTGCCAGATGGAAATACAGCCAAGAAAGTCCCCCTTCCCGTTCCTTCCAAGAACAACAATGCCGCCAACAATGCCGCCAACTCTGGATAGTAGTTTACCTGACCTTGTGATGAGAACAACACCTCAATTTTTATCTATAATCAGAGAAGTGAACTACAATTAACTATAAGTAATTTTTTGATTCTCAGCTGTAATTTTAAGGCGATTATATTGACTATTTTATCTTCTAATAAAAATATTTTCGTGAAGATTCGTTTTTAGCATATTTTATGACCCAGGACTTTTAACACACGACATACGACATAAAGGGACATTCGCTGGACACATTTGACCTGGAACTTTTGAGAATGATATCACTTGTGTACATGAATACGTTTAGAAGATTATATCATGAACCAAAAAATGAATGGAATATTATATAAGCATGAACATTATTACCTGGACTTGAACAATCCTACTCTAAAAGACGAATATTAGAGGAATAATTCGGTATGGTTATTGACCACAAGACAAAAGCTCTGGTGTTCTATTTATCGAGGATTCAAGGGCTTTCCATTCGGCAAGTAGCGAAAGAATGCAATGTTTCTACAATCACATCCAAAATAAACGAATACTCCATGCTCCCGGCCCCCACCCTCCCCAGTGTTGGTTAGTGATTGTTCGCACCGTTTCAGGTGAATTCCTTTTGAATTTCGACTTCAAATAGCAACATAGAACGGGAGTGAGGGGGATAAGCCTTACAAAATCATGGTGGCACGTTCTATTTTGCACGAGATTGTAGCTCAAAGCAGAAAAAACATGGCCACCCCTTGTTTGAAGTGGGAAAATTCCCCCTTTAGTGACCTATTAAAAATGGTATTTTTTATTAACTTACTGCATGGATTTTTGTGTTTGCAACATACTAATCTTGACGATGTTGTTCTTGCACAACTTCTAAATCATAACACGAACGTTTTCAACACCCATCATAGGTCTCGATGATGTCCATCTGCAGTGCTTTCCTTCACCTCTTATCACTAAAGACTTGGCAAGTTTATGAGACTGTACCGTCTCAGTTGATGACCAAATCATTAGAACCTTCGATGACCTTTTTTTGTCAGCAACGCGTTTACTGACAAGGGAAAGTCGCTTAGCACGAATAAATACGTCTAGTGGAAAACAGGCTTTATGTTCACGAAGAATCAATGGAATGATTATGTACTAAAGATAACATTGCTTCTTGAGAAAACGTTCTCATTAGCCTCCTGCGCAGACAACTCTCATCTGTGCCTATTTCATTAAACCTCAGTACAAATTGCGGTAAACCCCGATCAAAAACTTAAAACAACTTTCGGCCGAACCTTCGGTGGACTGCAAAGGTCATTAATTTTACATTCAATTTTGGTATAATAAATACGTCGTTGGGATGACTATGCATAGACCCAATATACGTCACACACCATATCTAAATCTAAGGACTGTCGTCCATAGGGGTTTAGCGACCCTTGGTTAGGCGTAAAAAAAAAAATACCTGTGGTTCCGGTTCCCGACCGACCATATTTTTTTCTGCCGATCCTATTATTTTTTCAACACGATTGACTGTGCGACCCTATTTTCTCCAGGTGGTTGCGGGCTGCTCATACAGCGTGCCAAAATGGCGTCTGTTGTCATACTAATTATTGAACCAAATTGCCTAAATTCGTCCATAGGAAATACGCATCTCTAGTTTAATATTGATGTCGGGACTCTACTGCAAATCGCCCAGCAAAAAAACCCCGCCAAAACCATGAAAAAAAATATTCAAAAAAAAAAATTATTTCCGACCTACCGACCCTAATTTTTTCACGATATGAAACCGGAACCACAGGTATTTTTTTTTACGCCTTAGGTAAAGCCTAAAGGACTGTCTTGCAAGTGTTCTAAACTACCCCTGGCAAGGCTCTGCATCACAGAATAAAGATCAGTAACAGAAGGGCCACTCAGCGGTGCAACGCGTCTGCGTGCTGCATTTTTCGCAGTCGTTCCTGGTCAGGTCTTAAATGTATATATACTCACTTGGATTACAAACCCTAACATTCTAATATTAATTCCACCAAGTGAAGTGCAAGAAACCAAATCATTGAAGTCCACCTTATCACAACCCGCACACTCGATTACCTATATATACATGAACTTACGGTTACAGCTCAACAGCTGGCCTCTGTAGCTCAGTTGGTTAGAGCGTTACACCGGAATCGCAGGGATGTAGGTTCAATTCCTTCCAGAGGACGCATGTTGCATTTTTCGAAGTCGTTCCTGGTCAGGTCTTATAATGTATATATACTCACTTGGATTACAAACCCTAACATTCTAATATTAATTCCACCAAGTGAAGTGCAAGAAACCAAAAGTTCATATCAGACAGAAAATCCGTCACACAAGTTTCCCGTCTTAGACGAAAATCCGTCTTCTAATATAAATTCAGCTAAGGTCTGCTCCCAAGGCAGTGCAGGCTAAGCAAGCCATATAGCAACAGGTCATGCTACGCAACTTTTTAACGATTTGCATTATTCAAACTTTTAGAAATGTAGTCTTTAACCTATTTATACAGATTTATTAGCATAGCATGACCAGTTGGTATGGCTCTTGCTTTTTGTTAAATGCTCACTAAAATTGATCGTAAAATATACAGAAGTTGCAGTTTAGTACGCGTGTATTCGTACGGGCTACGGGTAAAGGCCGTTTTCCACTTCAAAAGAACGTCCCGACACCATAGATATCTCGGCCGACACGTATCAAAACAACTTTCAAAATTTAGTGAACGTTGATTGGTTAATACTTCCGTAGTACGCTAACAATTTGACTAGGCCTAGTTTGAACATAAGTTGTAATCCTCAAAATATAACGATAATAAGTTCGAAAGATTACCATATAAAAGATTACCACATAGAGATGATATATAACGAGAATATAACGATACGATTACCACATAGAGATGATATATAACGAGAATATAACGATAATAAGTTCGAAAGATTAGTAGATTACCATATAAAAGATTACCACATAGAGATGATATCAATGTGTCGGCAAAGTTATCTGCAGTCAATGGAAAGTTAAAGGAGATGGCTAACAATGATGACTTTGTTTTTATTGACAATTCGCGTATTGATGGAACATGCCTCAACGGCAGCAAACTACATTTGAACGCAAAGGGATCGGCTTATTTAGCCAATAATTTTATAAAATTTATTAGGCCATTGGGAAAACGAGCGAAGCTGCAAACGGGTTTTTTAAACCCAATACATCAGCTGGGACAACTACTAACCCAGCTAACAACCCAACCAACGACAATTCCACTCTACAAGAAACCTCGCCGTTAGATGTTGGGAATGACAATTCAGGTAAAGCATGCCGTGGTCCAACAATGGGTGAGTTTGATTCTGCATTGCATTGCGTCGCTAGATTAAAAGGCCTAAAAATTGCTAGTATAAATGTCAATAGCTTATTGAAACACATTGAGGAAATTAGGCATCTGTTATTTAAATTTCCCTTCGATATTTTTGCTATTAATGAATCCAAAATAGATGATTCTGTAATGGATGGGGAAATAAGTATCCCTGGTTTTAACTTGATAAGAAAGGACCGTAATAGGGCAGGAGGGGCGGTGTGGTGTTGTATATCAGAGACAACCTATCCTATTTGGATAGGAATGACTTGGTGCCCGATCGTCTTGAGATGCTGTGTGCTGAAATTACTCGCCCCTTTAGCAAGTCGCTTTTTGTCTGCACATGGTATAGGCCTCCGAAGTCGAACTTGAGCTTATTTAATGATTGTGATGTATTTTTTCAAAAATGCGAGTCTGAAAATAAGGAATTGATTATAATTGGTGATATTAACTGCGATGTTATGAAAACCTCACCAGATGCCCATACACGACAATTAAACTTTTTGTGTTCTCTTTATCAACTTGACCAATTAATTAATAAACCTACAAGAGAGACCAACACCTCGGCGACCTTGATTGATTTGGTAAAGAAAACATTTCGACGTCTGGTGTAATAGATCTGGGGATGTCTGACCATAGTTTGATTTATGTGGTCAGGAAGTTCACCCTTCCAAAACTTAAACCTAATGTGAAAGAAGTTAGGGATTATAAACATTTTAATGCTGAATATTTTATTGGGGATTTAGCCAGAATGCCTTGGCATGTAATTAATCAATATAATAATCCCAACGAATGCTGGAGGGTATGGAAATCTTTCTTCAATGAGATATTAAATATACATGCGCCGATTCGAGTCATAAGCGAGTAAAGGGGAACTCGGTCCCATGGATTACTCCGGAAATTAAATGTATGATGAGAAACAGAGACTATTATAAAAAATATGCAATAAAACATTCCTCACAGCCACATTGGGAAAGTTTTCAATTTCGGAATAAAGTGAATGTTGAAATGCGAAATGTAAAATCAAAATATTTTCATGATAAAATCACTGATTGCTCTGTAATGAATGACCCTAAAAAGACTTGGAAATTAATTAATTCATTATTGGGAAAGAATAACAAATCCAACAATGTGAATGAGCTGCTGGTTGACAGCACGTTAGTTTCGGATCCTAAATCTATTGCAGATGCATTTAATGACTATTTCATTAGTATTGGGTCGAGGCTAGCAGCAGAATATGTAGACTAGTCCTGTAGTAATGTTGATAATCAGCCCATAAACTATAATATTAATCAATCCTCAGATACTTTTTTTAAAGTATCTCCAATATCCGTTGATAGTGTTGCCTCGACCCTAAGAGGCCTAAAAGCATGTAAAGCAACAGGTCTTGATAAAATTCCTGCTAAAATTCTAAAATTATCTGCAAACATAATTGCACCCTCGTTGACATTCACCTTCAATCTGTCGCTTGCAACAGGCGTATATATAGATGAATGGAAGCGTGCTCGTGTTACGCCAATATTTAAATCCGGGGATAAAAGACAATGTGAGAACTATCGGCCTATTTCAATTTTACCGGTGGTGAGTAAAGCCTTTGAGAAGGAAGTTTTCCGTCAAGTATATAGATACTTGTCTGAAAGCTCTCTTCTGTCAAAGTTTCAATCTGGATTTCGTCCAAAGCATTCAACTGTAACTGCCCTCATCCAAATGTGTAATGAGTGGCTAGAAAATATGGACAATGGAAAGTTAAATGGGGTTGTGTTCATAGATATCAAAAAGGCATTTGACTCTATAAACCATCGCATTTTGTTAAATAAAATGAATGAGCAATTTGGAATTTTTGGCGTAGAATTAAAATGGTTTGAGTCATATTGAACAAATAGAGAACAGCAATGT